GAGAGGCGGCGAACAGAGCCGCTTCCGCTTCCGCTCACGTTACGCACGCCCCGCGGTGACGTCGCACGCTCCTGACCCGCCCCTCCCGTCAGTGTTCGCTCCCTCCTGCTCTTCCAGCCGCCAACCGGAGCCGGTGGGCGGGTTAGGTGGAGTAGGCTGCGGGGCGGAGACGAAGCTCTGGGAGCCGACCTCAGGCCGCTCTCCCACCCTTCTCCGTGCAGTGCTCCAAGGTGGTTTGCCACTTACGGAGCTGTGTGTCCAGCGCTCCTCTGCGGGCCTGGGACCTTTCATTCAGACGGACACTCAGACCTTTTGGATGCTCACCGGCTACGGCTTTGGCAGCCTGCACTTTAAGGGTTGTAGTGGAGCTGGAAAACCCAACTGCTCATAGAGAAGGGCAGCACACACTGTACTGCTGTAAATGGAGGAGTTATTTGCGCCCAAGGAAACAAGAGCAGAATCACAGCGAGTGAAGGCATGAGGTTTTCAGTTCAACAGATGTAATTCCTATTTGCAACTCCTGAGATGGGACCTGGGAAAGTCAGTCCTCTGGGCACAAACATGGTCTTGAATAGGGAAGCAGACGACAAACTCGATTTCAATACTCTGTGGTCGTTACAGTGCTAGAGGTAGGCAGGGTGTACAGTGCAAGAGAAGATGAGAACAGCTGCCTAGTTCCACATGCCAGTTACTTTATTAACATTATTCCACTTAATCTTATTTTCTGATTCTGAAAGGCAGGTATTGACGTCTCCGCTTAAGAAATGAGAAAGCAGAGATAACCAGCTTGCTTGGAAGAAGCACTCTGTCATTTACTTAGAAGAAATGAGATATAGTTTGGGGTTGGGACAAAGGGAGGTGAAATGTTGAGTATCAGCATCTTAAGTTTGACCTATTAATACACTATTGGATAGAATATCTGATTTAATCACATGGTGATGACGTGATTTGTTTCAAGGGACAGTAAGTAAAATGATAAGTGCAGAAGACTGAAAGTGGAGCAATTAAGAATGCTAGCATTCCATAAGGAAGCAGAGGACGTGTCTATAAAGGAAGAAGGCAGGGGTGATCAAAGAACTTAATCCTGAAGGGTAAGGAATGAATGAGCAGGAAAAATGATGGAAAGATCACAAGGCAAAGATCTGGGACTGCTGGTACCAGGACTAACAGACTACAGCTCCTCATTCTATACTCTCATCCCTGTTTGCAAAATGGAAGAAGAGGTGTGTGTCTGAGCGGGGTGGGTGATAAAAGTGCTGGTTATAGCTGCTTGTTAAGGAACCTGAGGCAGGAATAGGGAGACCTGAGTATAACAGAGGAGGGCAAGGTTGGGAATTAAGCTCACAGCTTTTCAGGGTTAGGGATATAAACTGTCTGCTGCATTCAGTGGTTGAGGGTTCAGCAGGGCTTCCAACATGGCATGACAAGGACCAAGCCACCAGCTATACAGGAGGAGACTGGTCAGGTTTTCTCACAGGAAAGGTCAATGGTTGAGTAGAGTCTTCAGCAGAACTGGGAAGTTGGGTGTTCCCCAGCCTGTCACAGGATCCCAGCCAGGGCCAGAGCAGAAACCCTCACCCTGTAGCTCTTCATTCAAACAGGACTCATGGCAGCCATGGGTTACCTAGGGAGGAAGTGGGAATTAGATCTGGGCCTGCGGGTACCAGTACTGACAAGATTACCTCTTCACCCTGTATTTGCATCCCAAAGGCTATCTCACCGTATCAGAACTGCCTCCAAAGCCACCTTAGCCCTTGCCATATTTGTATGACAGCATCAGCAAGCTGCCCTTCCAACACTCACATCAAAAAGTCCTGCCCCATGCTGCTGGTAGAGCCTTGGGTTGAGAAAGCCAAGAGGCGGCTGGCCATTGAGAATTCGGTGCTCATTTATCAAGGAAAGGATTCCCCCAAACACTGGAGTAGAGGCCTACAAGATGAAGGTGCAAGGTGAGGTCAGGATTTCAGAGTAATTGAAATTTTGGGGAGGGATGTTTAAAAGTATCAGAGATCTTTGAGGAGCAAGGGGTTCTGGGAGACAAGGTCTTGGGGACAAAGGGTGACAGTAGTTCCTGAGTGGAGGCCTGGAGCCAGGCTGATCCTTACCGAGGTCCCAGATACCCATGGAATGGGTATACGGTTGCTGACCACCCAGTAGCCATCAGAAAGCGCAGCAACGTCTGGATATGCACGGCCACTGGCATTGAAGTAACTGGATGGTGGCAGGCGGGGGCTAGATTTCAGGAACTGGGCTACAGCTTCTTCCTGAAAGGCATTTCTGAGTGTTGACCTAGAGCCTGCACGGTAGTTTACTGAACTGAAGCTCTCCCAAGCCTCTATCTAGCCACTTGAACATGCCACATACCTGGTATGAAGGCTTTGGGAAGACATTGCTGAAGCCACCACCACTGATAAAGTCAACTATCTCATTTGTGACCTGGAAAGGGTTCCTGAAGGATGTGCCTCCCACTGTGGTGACATAAGGGCTGAGAGAGAAGACGATATTCAGATAGAAGGGGACACAGGGGAAGATGTGCGGGGATGGATGAGGATAGCCTGGATCTTGCTGGAGGGGTGGATGCTGTGGGGAGGCATGTGAACAAGACTGACTAAGAGGAGTTCAGCCCTCGCCATGGCCTGAGGTGACTATGCATAGTTCGGTCTGCAGAAAACCCACCAAGTCTCCCACTAAGATGCATAGGGACTGAGGAGGAAGCATACTGAGAGCTGTGTCCCCCTCAGGAGACAAAGGACTTAACCTACAAAAGAGGGGAGTGCAGCAACCAGGGCAGGTAAGGCTGAATGCTCAGCCATAGGAACTCCTGATGGGCTCAAAGGCAAAGCTTCTAGGTTGCAAGGTCACAGGTAAATGGTAGGTTGGGTACTCACCTGGAAGCAGGGAAGCTAGGACGGAACTGGTGTCTTCCAGAGACAGACCAACACCCAGCCCCACTGTCACCTGAGAGAGAGGCAAGTTTGGCATTCATATTAATTGATCAGAGCTTGGTATGCAGGTTCAGATGCCAGAGAGAAATTTGGGTATCAGCTGTTACTGCAGGAGGTCAGAATTTAGAGGTCATGTCAGTGGTCCCTATGGAGGCGCTGAGTTCAGATTATGATTCACTGTGGGGTCAAAGCTTCCATGTTGGATGGTTGGCTGGGAGTTTCTAAGTTTAAGAGAGGAGCTCACCTGAGGCAAAGAGCAGGGTGAGACCCCGGGCAGCAGCTTTCATGAACTCAGTGTTGACCCGCTGCATGTAGGCACTGCTGAGGGAGTCTTCATCATCTCCATAGCTCACAGTATGCACATGTGGCAGGGCTGACTCGTTACTGAGCAGCAGAAGCCATTGCAGGAAGGGTTCCTGTGCCTCGTGGCGACCTAGATTTTTTTTTTTTTTTTTTTTTTGAGGTGGGCATACAGATAGTCAGTGGGGGATTTCAGGGTTTCCTTCTAGCTCATGGCATTTCCTTCAGGGAATCAATAGCCACCTCCACCCACTTGTCCCCCAGCGGGTCCCCTTAGCAGTACCAGGGTTACTGTAGACCCATGTGGAGATGTTGGCGCCAGCACTCATCAGGTACTCCACGTCTAGACTGGCCTCGATCCCAGCCCGGCCCCGGCCCTGTTTTCCAACTACGTGGGATACTGATGCCTGGTGTACAAAGCTGCCACCAAAGAGGCGCATGAACTCTGCCAGGTCTGAGTTGTGGAAGTACTGCTCCAGGAACTACGGAGGCAATTAGAACAGGGATCATGGGTCAGAGGGTAAGTCCCAAGGTGGTAAATCATGGAAAGCACTTTGAGGGGAGGCTGTGAGAACCACAGAGCTCTTTCTGCTTGGCTCACCTGGGCACAAGCCTGGCTGTTGTTGGTGGTGCCAGAGCCCACATCTTGTGCTGTCAAGTTATATCGCTTACGGATCACAGATGGGGTCACTCCCAGGTGCAGGCCAACAGTTCCCGCCACTTGTGACCTTGGGCGTTGCCTCAGGGACGATGTAGGGGGAAAACGATGCAGTCCCCCCACTGTGGAGAGGGGTCACACTTGAGATCTTACAGACTTCAATTCCAGCTTTACCACTACCTGTACCCCACATCTAAACTTCTCCAGCTCCTGGGTGTCCCTTCCCCAACCCCCACCAACCCCACTGGGTTTACCAAAGTCCACATGAGGTGCCAAGGCCTGAGGGAGCTGGTAGGGATGTAGGGACCTTACAACACGGGACACTTCAGGTCCCCCCACGTAGCGATGAAACTCAGTCCCGGGGAGCAGCAGCTCTGCTTGTCTGAAAGAGGTCAGAAAACACAGGTCAGAAAGCATGGAATGGAGCAGAGGCTGCCATCAGAGCGGCACAGGTCAGTCAGCCAGCGATCATCTTCTCATGCATTAATTTCTACCCATAAGCTCTCAGCGAACTCTCAACTCCCTCCCACAGGGGTGACTAGTCTCCTGAAGGGATGTTGGTGTCCTCCACACGGCAATCGTTCCCTCACCGGACGCGCAGCCAGCAAGTCAGAAAGTCCTGTGTGGTCACTGAGTGGCAGTTCCGGGCTCCAGCTGCCACAAGCCATTTTTGCACTGTGTGGAGGGTCAGTGGCGATGGCCGGATCAGCTCAGCCACCTCCTCCAGGGCTAAGTATTTTCCTGTAGGGATTCAGAAGAGGTTCTTGCCTTCATTCATTGCTTTTTCAGGTTACCCCTTTGGACCTCAATCAGGAGACAGCAGGTCTTCTCAGAGAGGATTTTCCAGGCTCTGGGTATATTTGGGGCCAGAGGGAAAAACAAGTTGGAGAGACTTAAAATTCCATGGCCAATAAATATAGATTCACCCTAAAGGCCAATAGGTACTATTTAGTACTTTCTACCCGCACACCTCCGCCCTTCAGACACACATCCTGTGGCTGCCAGGGCGGACTTTAGCCAGGGGAAGGATACAGTCTGGCTTGGGGAGGCTGTTCTGGAGTAGAGCGGGGAGTAGAGTGAAGAGTGAGGTGGAGGGGAGGAGACAGTAGATGAGTGGGGGAGGCTAAGCAGTAGTACAGGAGGGAGAATAAACAACTGAGCCGGCAGCCACAAGGACTGGCCAGAAGTGGACTACTCTAGAGGCAATTGGAGTTGGAAGTCCTGAATAGAGGGGGACATGGGTGAAGTTTTGGGGATGGGGGACAAATTTGAGTTGATGAGCTCTTATATGTATTAGGTGCTATATTTCCTCATTTGTATTGTTGCTGGTAAACGGTAGTGAGACACTGTGTCTAGATTTGATCATAAAGACTGCTTGTAACCACAATTACGCTTGTAACCACAATTACTCTTTTTTTTTTTTTTTTGAATGTACCAGAGATGGAAGTGTGGACCTTGCACTTGTGAGGCAGGCAGGGTGCCACTGAGCTAAATCCCTGGCCCTGCTCTTTGGTTTTTAAACTGAGGAACACAGATGGAAGTTTTGTAGGGTGGGGGTGGGGAGAGAGTGAGTTATTTCCAGATAGTTAAGTTTCAGTTCACATTTGTTATGTACCTGTACTAACTCCCCACAGAGAATGTAACTATTATATACTGCAAACATGTACCAATAAAAAAATTCTAAAGAAATTCCTCAGTGATGGTCACTACCTTTCATTTGCCTTGTATCACCCACCCTTGTCAGTTACCAAGAGCGTGACCCTGACATCATTTACACCACCCCATGCCCAGTCCCCTCTGTCCCTCCACTGTATCCCACTTCCTGCCCTCAGTCCCAACAGGCACCGTAGCGAGGAGAGCTGGGATCCGACACCGCCTGCACCAGCTCTGAGAGTCTCTTCAGGTTCTGCTGTCTCAGGGCAAAGGTGAGACTCAGCTCTTCCTCAGGGTCCACACGGCCCAGGGACACCCAGCCAGGGGGCAGCCTGCGGGGTCATGGGTCAGGAACATAGCCATGGTTAGGGGGCGCATGGGAAATGGGTCATGGACTAGGATCTGGGACTCTGGGTAGGACCCAGAAGAGGATATGGATCCCGGGAGGTGAATGACACCTCCTGGACCAATCCTGGAATTTCTGTGGAGTTGGTACCAGGAGCTGGTACAAGCGTGAAGGAAGCCAGGACCAGGACAGAGGGCGCAGAACAGAGCAAGGGGAAAGGAAGGGGTAGTTAGAGCTAAGTCAACTCACTTGCGCTGCTGGTCAGGCTCCGGGCTATAATTGCATTCGCTGGTGACAGTGAGGGCAAGAAGCCCTAGGAGGCTGCAGAGATGGCAGATAGGTTTTAGTGGGGGCTGAATTGTCATTATATTTCTACCCTCCAATATGCATTCCTCCCAATGTGATCCCCTTCACCCGGGCCCCCGGTTTCCTCACCAGAATCGTACTCCCATTCCACCTTTCTGCTGATCTGGTGTCACATGACAGATCACATGAGTCATCTTCCACCCACCCCCACCTCCCTGCCTAGTAACTGGTGACGATCCTCGCTCCTCCCTCTCAAATGTGCGGTTCTGAATGCTGGGAAAGAGTGGGGCTGCGGCTGCCACAGGATTTCCCCCTCACTACCTAAACACTGCTCAATCGTTAGACTTCCACCTTTCTGCTGATCTGGTGTCACATGACAGATCACATGAGTCATCTTCCACCCACCCCCACCTCCCTGCCTAGTAACTGGTGACGATCCTCGCTCCTCCCTCTCAAATGTGCGGTTCTGAATGCTGGGAAAGAGTGGGGCTGCGGCTGCCACAGGATTTCCCCCTCACTACCTAAACACTGCTCAATCGTTAGACTCCCTACCTGCTGTGAGCACCGCCTCCCATCAGGAAAATAATCTCAGAGCTTAGATTTCCCTTATAATACGGAGACTATTACATAAAAGTGGTCTGCTTCATACACTTGGCAAAAATTTATA